TTTTTTTTTTTGAGAATGCAGTTTTGCAACCCAATCAATGCAATTTTGAAGTTTCTAAAAAGTTGCCTTAATTTTTGAGATTTTTTTTTTGTTGAAAGTGTTTTGGATTTTTGCTATAAAAACTATTTTCGAACTTTTTTATGCAAGAAATTGCGTGAGAAAAAATTGCCAAAAATCAACTTTAAGTCCAAGCTGCTTAAAAATTGCACCTGGCCCACTGAATATGAATCCATCTCGAGAGATCGATTTATTTTAGGCCATATCTTTCTTCATCGATTATTGTTATTTCAATTCGAATCGATTCACAATAAATTAATTATTTATATTGGGCATATCTAAACTGTACTTATAGAACTCAACGATGCTCAGAATTTTGCACAGACACTACTCATAAGGTGCGTTCAAACAATTTTTGAGCTAAAACCTGTTGAACTGTCAAGTAGCAAAATTACGCTCTCAAGTTAGAGTACCAGAAGAGTGTTCTTTCCTGCGAGTATATAAACGACAAAAGTTTTATTTAAAAAATTATTTATTCAGCCAGCCTTTTTTTAATGTAAAATGATTGATCCGATTTCAAAATATTTTTTAAACGAAAAACGATTTCTTACAAACCAAAATATTTCGTTGTTGACTTCTATTTTGCTAAAAATATTTTTTATTCTTTTCTTCACCGCTTTCGACTTTTGTTTACAAGTACAAGTGATCATTTCATAGTTTTCATGAATTTTCCAGAAGGAAATCTGTTGACTGAGGAGAGAGTTTAAGTTACTCTCACTGAAACGCTCTCAGTTTCAAGATTTTTTGCCGATGGAACGCTTCTGCTGTAACCTCTGACTAAACGTCCTATTCGCACGGGAATGACAAAACCCATCGGCATTTCAATTGATTTCACTCATGCGAGTAGAATTTTTACGCCAAGTGGCTTACCAATGCTTTTCGTTTCAAACCGAACCGAACCATTTTTAGTAGTGGTTTTGCGATTTTGTTCCGGCATTTCAAAATAAAAACAGTTCGGTTCGTGGTTCGGTTCAAAATCAGTGTTCAACTCTGTCTCCTTCACTGGTTTCAGTGCTGTTGCCATATACATACATACATAGAAGGGTGGAAGGAAAATCCATAGCATCGGGATATATTTACATACATAAATACTTGTTACAATTTTAATCAAAGAATAGGATCTTGTGTCATATTTATAGAGAACTAGAAAGCTTTAGTTAAACGGTTTAATTACGATTTTTAGGATTTTTCTTTATCTTACAAAAATACCTATTTCATATTATGGGCATGTACGTTAAAATACCAGGTCATCTGTCCCACTACTTTCTTATATTTAGTCTTGCGCATAGTTAATAAAATCATTAAATTCCCATACAAAACTGAATAATAGCAAATAATAGAACCTCGCCCGCTTGTGCTTAAGTGCATATGTATGCACACTAGGGTGGTCATAAAAGTGTAAAGTCGGAATTTTAATGCTTTCACCCACTAGCATTGTTCTATATCGGCAAAAAGTATACCCCTATTTTTGTATTTTGAAATCAAAAAAATATTTACAGGTCGCTCAAAGCGCTCAAAGTTTTCGATGTACATATTTTATATGAAAAAAAAAATTGTTTGGTAGAAATAGTTAGTGTTCTTGAAAATCATTATTTTGCGATCGGCGAACTTCGGTTCTCTTCAGGAGACTTTCAATAGTAATACCCAATTGTTTATTTAACCATTTTTTGATATTTAATGATTTTTTATTGGTCAACCACTGCGTTTTTCGGGGTTTTTGGCGGACCTATAAGTCATAGTTACTATGAAAAAATGGTTAAATAAACAATTGGATACTAAAGTTGGCAATCTATTGCAGAGTAAAAGAGTTTTCCGATCAAAAATTTTTATAAATCTATACCATTGCTACGAAAATTTGTTTTTTTTTTCATATAAAATACATGGAAAGCTTTGAGCGCTTTGAGTAGCCTCTAAATATTTTTTTATTTCAAAATAAAAAATACGGGTATAATTTTTTTCCGTATAGAATAATCTTTGGGGCTGAGCGCATAAAAATTCCCACTTTACTTTTTCACATGCATTTTTGGACCACCCTAATGTAAATATATATGTATGAAAGTTGCTACACTTGTAACAAAGTACAATAGGCGAACGAGTCAACAAGTTTTTACACTCTACAACTTTGTTTATTGTACATAAATATTTTACTATTAATGTATATCTCAGTACGTTCCTCAAGGCATTAAATGCCATTTACTACTTACGACTGTTCAAACATACATACATACATACATACATACATATATGCATCATATGCAACTAGAATACAATGATGGTCATACAGATAGGCACCACCATTCCTCGAATCGCCACAAATGGCAACAAGTGACCATTTAACGGTCTAACTGATCATAAGCCGTAACCTATAACAGCTTGCTTGAGGGCAGTATGTGTCTATGTGTGTGTAGTATATACTTATATATGACCCTCTAGACAGCTCGTTGGTTACTTATTTAAAATGCTAATTATATGCAAATATAGGTCGCAATATAAACTGATCCATTGTAACAAGTGTTTCTTTTGTAGTGCATTTCGTTTTCTTCCGTTCGCTGGCGGAGACTTTTTGGATTTGTTACCAGCCGGTATCAACAAAAAAAATATGCATAAATTTTATGCACTTTGCATCGACTGCAAGTTTGTAGTGCTTTAATAATAAAGTATACAGCTGATTTTAACACTAGAGAATAAATTTTAAGCAAACGACTTTACAATTGTATGCACAAATATACATACATATGTATGTACAAACGCCAAGTGTTGAGCCTGGGAAAATATCAGTGAAAAATCGTTACGCTTTTCGGATGAAAAAATAGGTAAAAAGAAATGTTAACACTCTTTATTCAAAATTAATTGCCTGTGCTGGCGACGTAGCACAGGCAGTTAAAGGGAAGTTCTTAGGGAGCCTATATCAATTTAAACACGGACTTCTGAACTTGGTTGTTAAAGTGAACGGGTGCAAACAGAACAAAGGACCCAGCGACTTAGAAGATCTTTTGTATCCCTGTGATGGTTCCCAATCCTGGCGGATGTTATAAGCCTCCCCTAAGTAATGTTGTATTGTAGTCTAAGTCTGGTCAATGTCCGACAATAAAACATAATATGCTTCGACGTTTCCTCATCTTTAAGACAAAGCCGGCAATCCGTATTTTCAAATAACCCAATCCGGTGCATGTGAGAGCGCAGGTGATTATGACCGGTTAGGTAACCCTTAGGTGGCCCCTGGACTATGGAGGCTTAAGTTACAATCAGACTGACTATAGTTTGGTATAGGGGAGTTCAGACCCGATGTTCCACCAAAAAGTGTTCGACAGGCTCATGTGGCCCAGGTGGCTTTACTACGGGTTTTGTCTAGATGGGAGTTCCAACTTAGTAGGCTTCCAGTAGTAGCTTCCACCAGCTTCTTCTCTGAGGAACTCTCTACCAACATCAAATTTAGGCTACTGGACTGGTTGCTTACAAAGACAAAACCTTTTAAGAAGGTTAAAATATATTTATTACGAGTGTGATAGCTAAGCGGCATTTAGGGCCCTCAGTTCTTTAATGATTCGGCAGAAAACGGTCAGATATTGTTTTAATTCACTCTCGATCAGGACAGATAATTTTGCTATCAAGCCTCTTTGGGTTCCAGGCCACAGCGCTATTGCAGAGAACTGTAGCCGGATAGGCTAGCAAAGAAGCGCACGCCACGATTAACAGCCGGCGTTCAAGGGGTATCATAAAACTCTACAAGTCGCATTCCTCGTTATTGACGGAAATTCCTGTCGGAAGGGAACATTATGATATAGTATGGTGTATACAGTTAGAAAGAAAAAAAGTGTATAAACTCAAAATATTCATGGCGTGTCATCCAATCAGACAATGTTCGGTAAGAACTCCAGTTCATATGCGGTTGTATGGCCTCTTTTAATTGAGTAAAGTTATTGTGCGTTGGGTATTTATGACTAGCCACAATGTTCTACCAATATAACTAGCTGGTTCCACTTGCCATCTTTCGATAGCACTTTCTATGCATTTTGGATTAATTAAAAGTTAGTTAGTTATCTGTAACACGCAAGGCCATTCCATGATGCGTAGGTAGGTTAGGCTAGGATAGGTAAGCGGGCTGCCTCTGCATATGGAGGCCCCCTTGGACACGACAAAGCTGTCCATTGTGATGACCACCTCCGCCCACCTTCGCATTTAGCTTCGATCCATCTGTAAATAAGTTTACAGGTCCTCGATTCCAGATACTGCACCCCTCCCAGTCTCCTCTCGCTGGAATGTGGGTGGTAAAAGATCCATTCGGAGCCAGAACCGGCGGGCAGTGTTCGCGCAAGTAAGTCAGACTTAAATTTTTCCTCGATCGACTGATCTTGAGGGATAACGAGTCAAGTATTTAGTGTGGGTGAAGGTGCATACGCATCCGTCAGACGAAAGTTTAGTAGCGTGTTGTGCGCATTGGTGGTTGTTGACTTCGTGGCTCCTGTTATCAGTAGAGAAACCAATAGTTGAGCTCTGTCTGTTTTATTAGAGTTTATTTTTTTTTTTAAGCATTAGTTAGTTTTATAATGCAAAATTTGCGCTAAACCGTAGGCTGCGGCGTAGAAAAGGACAGCTTGCTGTTAGGTTTATAATTCTAAAAAGTCACAGAAAAACTGCTCCGCATCTCATAGTCCCAACCAGATAGTGAAAACGAAATGCATAATTAGACCTACACATATATAATAATAATATATTTTTGTTGTATTACAAAATTAAAACTTAGACCAAATTTAATAATTATGAGAATGAATGGCATATATGTAATTTCCCGCTACAGTGCATTCGTATTCGGCATTGCAATTATGGTGGCATACGATCCGGATATGTAAGTTAAGTAATTCATATGTAGTCGCAAACATACATACACTCCTGTATTTATGTAGATATGCATGTGCATAAATATATATGGATATGTACTTTACTTTAAATTAACTTTTAAGGCATTTATTTTTATTTTTTGAAAGCAATAACGGCGATCACCAACCACGGAGCTAAACGTACAATTTGTGGTAAGTAGCATGACAACTGTAATATGCTGCATAAAATTGTGCAACGTGCCACAAAGGTTTCCCATCGGATTTTCACAGACAGTCTGCAGCCGGTCAAGAAAAGTCGGCGTTACGGTTCGAACGTAGATTGAGTGCACAGTGTACGAGTATGTACAAACATACTATGTAGCTGGGATGGAGGCAACGGTCCCGATTAACCGCAATTTTGGGCACGACACGGTCGCGTACAGCAAGTCAGCTACTCCATGGCGCACCATTTCTGCGTGTAAGATTGCTAAAACGATCAATGAGTGTTTGTGGTACATGCATAAGTGAAATAGTACCGCCAACCCTGTTTACTTATGGGAAAAAATATGCACGCAAGTATAAAAGTGGATGTAGGTACTCGTATGTACATACATATGTATATATGTTTACATGTAAGTAGTTCCATATGAATACATGTTTAGCGCATTCCGTGCATGGCATGCAAGTAAGTCACAACGCATATCTTACCGAAAGGCAGGTGGCTCCAATTGTAAGTATGTATGTATGTAGTTGACCACCTTGCCAACTTACCACATAGTCAGTTGATAATGCCGCTCGACAATAGGGTTGAAATCACATCGATATTACGAGTAGTGGACATGTGTGCGGCTGCCTCTTTTTAGCTATATTCCTGTATGTCGTGGACCCTTTTTTATTTAATTTTATATTGCATGCAACCGCAACCTGCATTATAAATGGCTATGTTTATACAACATACAACATACATACTTATGTAGGTAAGTACGATCGTTTTGCTGATTTTTCGCGCTAGAATTTACTGTTGATTTAATTTGATTGTGTTTTGCATGATGTAGGTTAGATATGTTATTGAGCCAGAAATGAACATAAGTAAAATGTCGGTGGATATATCGAATAGCCCAAACATATTGGGCTTAAATTCGTATAAATTCGAACGACTGATGAACATTTCCACCTGAAAATATAGGCAAATGAAAACAAAATAAATATTGAGGAATTTATATAGTTAAATTTAAATTTGTAAAATTTAAAAACTATGGTATTTCAAAAAGTCATCCTGCCAGCTTGGCTCAAACCGTGCTATTTGTGGCCCCCTATCTTACTTCAAATGGCACTAAATGGCCGAAATGGCACTTTTGAAAAACCGTAATATTTAAATACATTTTTGCGAAATAATTTGCGTTTTCATATTTCTTTTTTCAACCAAAATTTTCTGATTTCTAAAACCGTCGCTCTCATCGGGTTGCAACCCGACCCACGAACCAAACCGTTATTATTTTGAAATGCCATAACTGAACCGAAAACCACAATGTTATGATACCTTGTCATGTGATGTCATTTCTTATCATTGATGCCATTGCATGTGATGTCATGTCATGTAAATTTATGGCCTATCATGTGATGTCATATATTATCATGTCATATCATGTGCAATCATTTGATGTCATGTAATATCATGTCATGTTACGTGTTATCTTGTCATTTCTTGTGTTATCATGTTGTGTTTTGTCATATCATGTGATGACATGTCATGTAATATCATGTGATGTCATGTGATATCATATCATGAAATTAGGTGTTGTTAGTTAAGGTGGTAAATATAGGTGTGGTGAGTTTAGGTGCGGTGTGGTGAGTTCGGTGTGCTGAGTTTAATTGTGGTGACCATGGATTTGGCAAGTTCAGGTGTGGTGAATTCTCTATATACCTGCACTATCTATATCCTCTTCCTTATAAATACTTTGTATTAATCCCTTTTGCTTTGTTTATCCTTACTTTTATAGTTATTCTAGTCCTCATATTTTCCTTGTATTTATCTTTATTTTTACCTTTATGTTTATTCTTATTGTTTATATGTATATGTCAATATGTAAGTAAAGTGTTCAATCATATGTACTTTGATCTTAGTTGTTGCCTGTATCTTTGCCTGTAAAACTTGTGTTTTCGTCTATATAAAATCTGTAAATTGAAAACCAGTTTTCGCTGAAAACTACTTGAAAACTCACGTTCCACTCATTCCAATGGAAAAATGGAGGTGCTCGGTAGCACGTGTTAATATTAAAATTTTCAGAAATAAAAAAAATACATTTACTTTTTTATAAATATATTTTTTAAATACATACATTTACACATTTCCTTTTTTTAAATTAGCAGAAATTGTGGGAGTTTATAGTTTTTGCCAGGAAAAAAATAAAATTAGAATACATTCTTGGGCCACCCTAATGCACTTACATGTGTTCATATGTAGGTATTTGGTATTTGGTACTCACACTTTGATTCCATTCCATATTTCCGCCCATATACAAACTGTCCAAACTCAATTTGCTTGCTGAAATATTGCCCTGTACTGCTGAATATGCTGATAAGATTACTATCAGCACCATGAGAAAAATCTGCGTGCAAAAGATTACCGCACCCCACTCGAACTCGTGCTCTATTATATATCTGTATAGTACATTGTAGATTATTATAACAATGAACACGAAGGCCGTTGTAAGTGAAAATAATATATTTAGGCGAAAGTCGGAATGAAACATTTTAGCAGCACGATAGATATCATTGTAAAGGGTTAAACACACGTTTAGCTCTCCAGTCATGCGGTTGAGTTTTCGCATATAACGACACGTGCGGTAATTATAATTTCGCTTCAAAGCACAGTCCAAACGTCTCGCTCTTGGCTGAAATTCTTCGCGCATATAACTGTTCATGAATGTATATAGCGCGCCAATGCTCATATATCCGATACTGCCTATGTACAAGCTAAGCATCAGTCCCGTTAACATATACAATTTTGCAAATGCCAAAGCACATTCCCGCCAATCGCTATATTCGAGTAGCACAGATAAGCCAGATAAATCATTGCATAGAAAAATTGTAAGGATCAAAAGGAATAGGAACTGTTGTTGACCCATTATACTTTTATGTGGCAACAGCTGGCGCGTTCGCTGAAATAAGCGCATACAATAATTCGCTATATTAACAAAGCGTGCACTCGAAAACGGCATTTCAATGCCCAGAGCTATGGATCCCGTAGCTGTGATGCCAGACTCCAATAACATGATGGCGTTGTAAAATGGATCGGTCGTGGCCCACATCACAATTCCGCCATAAAAACTACCAACTGCTGATGTTATGCGTAAAATGGCACAGCACCAAGTAAGCCATTTTTGCTCAACTGCCGTAAAAGTACGAGTACTATCGTTGGATATTTTGTTGAATAAACGTTGCTTATTCTCCTGTATTGACCGCTTTCGATACGTAAATGCACAGACGCCGAATATTACAGCGGTGTAATAGAATAGGAAAAGAAATATTTCTACCATTTTGGCCTTCCATTTTGTCGGCATTTTGCGTCCTATAAAGGCTTTGGTGTAGCTTAAGGAGAGATATGAATAAGACTAGTGAAAAGAATTCGACATTTAATTTAGAAGGATTAGTGTCTGGTTGGTATTAATTGATAGGCATTGTTGTTTCTGGACACAAATTAAGTAATTGGTTTAATCAATTAATTCTATGCTTTGATAATATTTTGGGGCTTTGGCAATACAATGTTCTAACAAATGTAATGTGTTTACCATAAACCTACAACAATAAAGTAATTTATTAAGTTTACAAATATAACGTTAGATCATCTTGTGAAGCGAACTATGAAGAGACAACATATGATAACACATTTTCTTTTAGAAGTTTGAATGGCTTTTAGAATATTTACATTCATATATATCGAAATTATGATTTGTTGTTAAAGACTTTATAGCAATTCTACGAAAAAAAAAATAATTTTCTTCATATAAAATCAGGGGCGTGTTTGAAAAATATAAATTCCACTTAATTCATCAGTTATTTAAAATATGTATCGCAGTATACAACGAAGGAGGCTTAACAATGATTAAGCTGGAAAATACTTTTGAAGAGGGCTGCCACCTGTTTGAAAGGTCTAACTTGATTAACTAATTCAAAAAGTATATGAAATATAGAAATACCGTAGTCAAACGAAAGAAGTTTTTTAAATTATTAGTTTGAAAATTTCGAATGTTTGAAGAGGGTTGTCACGTGTTTAAAAAGTTACATTCAAACTATTCAGTAAGTTGGATAAATTATTAAAAGAAATTTTTGCATAGATATAGGGTGATTTGATATTAGATGAAAATAAAAAAAACACTTCGCGATACTGCTCTTCACTCAGAAAATGCTGCACGGCTTTGATGAAATATGGCACTCGGATTTCTTATAACTCTGACTAACATTTGGAAATTTGTTTAAGCTTTTGAAACTCAATTTTGGGCGTTTTAACGCCATGCGCGTTCACTATTAATTAATCGTTGAGTATTACTTTTTTCGCTCACACGAAATTAATATTGCTCTATTTTTATTTTTTCGATCAAACATGATGAATATTATGGAGTTTTAATATTTTACTTCAGAATAATGAGGATCTCCGACGTATGCTTTTCAGAGGTAGCGACATTCTAATAAAATAAATAAGTCCAAAAATTTTCAAATCAAAATTTCAGTTGGTTGCATTTGTACGGCCTTTAAAATTTTATAGGTAATCAGGTTTTTTTTTAAGTGGAAAAATAAAACTCGATAATAATTATTATATCTGAGCGAGAAAATTAAACTCAATAATAATTATTATTTTTAAGCGAAAACCATGAAAATCATAAAATAATGATTAAATGCTGATTAAATTATTTTACTCATAATGATTACCGTGCCTGCATAAAATGCTTGGGAAAGTTCAAAGCTCTGGCCGCACTAGTGTTCGATTATTCGCCTTTTTTCCAAAACAAGTTTATCGAGTTATTCCAAAAAATGTAATTTGAAAAGAACTGGTTCCCGATTTCGAAATTAAGAAAACACCGGATAAACCGGTTTTATTTTCCTTAATTTTCCAGCAGTGACCACTTGGTGATTTTTTTTTAAATATTCGCAATATTTTCCGAGCTAATTGTTTTTTTTTTTGGTATTTTTCTATAAAAAACCATCCAATCTCAACCAATTCTCACAGGCCAGGAGAAGAGTTTTCAACTTATACTCCATACTGACACTTGATTTTACAAGGGCGATGCTTAGTCCCCATCTAGGCCAACATAGCCTAACCGCATTATCTTTAGTGGCATACTTTTTCCTATATCAATTTCTTGAAAAAATCTTCTATTTGGATTCCGTTAATACCCACTAGGCCACGAGAGCCAAACTAGCCTATCTCAATAATTTTTTTTAGTAATAAGAGAAAGTGGTATCTATAAGCAACACACAACAATGCCGTTAAAACTTTTTTTTGGAATTTCCACCCGGAACGGGAAACTTTGACCTTAAGCTAATTTACACTAGAAAACCCCTTTTTTAACAAGTTACAAGCAAGTGAGTAATTTACTAAATATAACAAATACACAACATTTTCAGTATTCACACTTTGATTCCATTCCATATTGCCGCCCATAAACAAACTGTCCAAACTCAATTTGTTAGCTGAAATATTGCCCTGAACTGCTGAATATGCTGATAAGATTACTATCAACACCATGAGAAAAATCTGCGTGCAAAAGATTACCGCACCCCACTCGAACTCGTGCACAGTTGCATATCTTTATAAAATGTTATGGAATATTATTAAAACAACACCGACGGCCGATATAAGCGAAAATAATAAATAGACCTGAAAGTTAGAATGAAACATCTTAGCGGTACTATAGATGTGCTTGCAAATGGCTAAACACACGTTTAGCTCTCCAGTCATGCAAAATAAATACAAATATTACACACAAAATTTACACTGCGTTGGCCATCCATTTGGAGGCCATGTTGCGTCCCACTAAGCCTTAGGTAGGTGTGGCTCTAGGAAAGTTGTGATTAAGACAACGGAAAAGAATCGAAAGTATTGGTATCAGTGTTGCCGCCAATCATTTTTACCGGTAGCCAAATTCCGTTAAAAAAAAGGCTAACAAAGAGCTAAAAAAGTTTTTGTGGCTAAAAATGGTAGCTAAATTTTTTACTTACGTATATATATATAAGTATATTATGTGGCCAAAAAAAGTATATGGTAGCTAAGTCTAGCTACCTAGGGGCTAAAACGGCAACACTGATTGGTATACGGCTGGTGCTAATCGAAAGCCACTGTTAGTGTTTGACAAAAATTAAGTAATTGGTTTACTCAATGAGTTGTGTAAATATCAGCTATCTAATAAAAGTATCTTTAATGGCACTTTCAAGCTACAACAATATACAATATACCACCAATATCTGTTTACAATAAACCCAAAACATTTACATAATTACTTTATTAATGGCCCAAATACATATTACGTAAACGCATAAGGTGAAGGCAAACGATGAAACTTGATTGAGGATCAATAATGAATATCCACTTTTCGGAAAAGCCTAGCTAAAGCTCTAAACAAAAATGTGGTGCAGCACTATGTAATATAGTCAGGAGGGCTCTACTGCGTAACGTTGTGGAACAATAAGTCGATTCTTCTATTTATATATTTATTTATTAGCAATATATTCACAAAACTGAGGGCCAAATATAGTAAAACTGCGTTTTTCGTTTTTCTCTCTGACGTCAGGATTTTTTTTAAAAGGACTTTGCAATTTCTAACAAAAATATATGTCAAGGACTAATATGTTAACTACCACATCCTCGAATTTTGTCCTTCTAATTTTATTAGTTTTAGATAAAAAAAAAATTTTAAAAATTAACTGACCGTATTATGTGCGGTTTAAATACTTTAATTACTTTGTGTACAAGAGCCAATAGAAATTTTTGGGTTTAAGGAAGTATTCGTTCTCTGGTATCCTTTACAACGATACCAATTTTATAAAAAACGACCTGTAATTTTTTTGTTTTTAAAAAAGGTATATTTCGCTTTCAAGTATTTTTCCTCAAATTTTTATTTTTTTCTCCGGATACAGGAGATGGACACCTGCCGCGAGATTTTCCCCTTCGGAGTCGACAACTGCGAACGAGATGTTTATATTAGATTTTGACCCATCGATGAAAATTAAAATAGGTACATTCGGAATGCAGAGGACCAGCTCCTCTGAAAAAAGACTGGGACGCTAGTATGGTTTCTCTAAGTTTACTAAAAAGGAAAATTCGTTCTTCATCCTGGACGGAAACGAATCTTTTTGGGGGAGTGAAGATTAAGTGATATCAAGCTCTCTGGCGTAATTGATGCAAGGTGACTTGCGACGAGAAGCATCTATTTGTGGCGGACGCTGTGCATAATTTTTTCGTTAAGGCACATATTTTTGGTGGAATTCCACATGATTTTTTCTCCGTGCGTGTTTTCGAATATCTTTACTCGTGCCTGTAAATTAGGCCCACGCCCATATCTATGAGCAACCGAAATTGTGCCACATAACTGGACATTCTAAGATTGATTGTCTATGCATTGGGGTCCAAATGGTCAGATATATCATTACCAGCTTCTCCTGTATAAGCTGACATAGAGAATTATGCCGAAATTTCCAGCCAATGCCTCAGTGACCACTTTAGACACAAAAAGCGACAACCTCTCCAAATATTAAGTGTAAGTAGCTTTCCCTCGCTATTTAATAATTACCCGAGTTTTGGTTTTACAAATTATCGAGGTTTAAATTCATAGAATCGTTCTAGGTGGCATATAAATCCATAGAGGTTACCACAAAAACAATTAAGGTGAAGTCCTTCCGGAGTTGTCTTTGCTAATAGTGGATTTCCTGAATTTTCGGGGGCGCGGGTTTGATCGGCAGTGTCAAGAATGAATTTTTGGCCCGTCGCGAATTTTCAAAGACCTTCCCTATAGGCCACATCTAGGTCATTTTGAGATCAGTACCGTGGGTCGCAATACCCCGTGCGCAGAGATTTGAGGATAAGACGAGAAGGCTAAGCCAAAGATAAAGTCTAAGAAAAAGAGAAAAACGAATACGAGTATGAAGAAGAATACGAAAACAAAGAAAAGTACAAAGGCGAAATAAATAAGAACGCGAATTTGAAGACGAAAACGAAATCAAAGATGAATGCAAACTCCAAGATGAATACGGATGCGAACACGAAGGCAAAGACGAAACGAATAAGACGACGAATACGAATATAGCCACGAAGATAAATACTTATACGTAGAAGGTGAAAATGAGTCGAAGGAATTTTCATGCACTTAGTGTTACCGCAATACTCTTTTATCGTACATATATCTTTATGTATATATTAAAACGTATGTATGCATAACGGTCCCAAACTCGCACAGTATCAAAAATGTAATAAAAGGTAATCCCTCTGTAGGCATAAGAAATATTATCTGAAATCATCTGCCATATTATTCGATCACGAGTCGGTTAGAGATCATTACCTAAAATGAGCTGTGATATTCGTGAGGTCAGATTTTAACATACATATATACAAGCGTTATTTCTTATTCGCAATTATCTATAAGTATACATAATATTTACCCACTTACGTATAAGTAAAATTCGATTACGAGAATAGTGTTTCCTTGTTAAGCAGCGCAGTTCACAGAATATTCTGTG